CTCCTTCTTGCCTAGAGGAAGCCATGACCACGTGTCAGAGCAGGGAAGATGGCCACAGGTCGTGTTCGTCACCAGATGCGGAGTTCGCGAATGGAAGCAAAATTTTGCGAACGCTGCTGTTCGTGAACCGAATTGTTCGTGAACAGAAGCGTTCGTGAACCGAGGTATTACTGTATACTGTTTGCACTGTTTGTGAAACCAATCCAGTGTGACGTGTACAGGTAGTCCTCACTTAACGACCCTAATTGGGTCCGGCAACTCTGTCAACTAAGCGATGCAGTCGTTAAGCAAAATGTCACATGACTGCTCCACTTAGCGACAGCATTTCCGGCAGTCCCAGTTGCTGTCATTGAGCAAATCCCATGTGGTCATTAGGTGAGGACCCACCTGGATCTACGCCATTCTTGGAAAATGGTAAGGACTGCCTCACATCAACTCCTCACATCCATCTATCTCCCCCATCTCTGCCCTTTTGGCCGCCCGCCTACCTGCTGCCACCAGCTGCCCCCATCGCTGCTGCAACTGCCACACCACACACTACTACTGTATCAGCAGGGGCATTCTTTCACACCGCCTTCTTTCCCACTGATGCAACTGGGGCTTCTCTTGCACCCTGGCCGTGATCTCCATTTGTACCCCAGCCATGGCCTTCTTTCATAAAAGGTCCTGGCTGGCAGGCAAATGGAGAAGCCTCAGCTGCACCAGTCCAAAAGGAGGAGGCACGAAAGAAGGCCCTAGCCAGTACAGTAGTGGTGCATGATGTGGCAGAGTGGGCAGGGCCAGATGGTGGGGGCAGCTGGCAGCAGCGGGTAGGTGGGCAGCCAGAAGGCAGTTGTAAATGCGGGTGGGCCCAAGTGGCCTAAATTTTGTTCACATGACAATGGGGGTGCTGCAATGGCCGAAATTTCAAGGACCAGTCATAAGTCTCTTCATTCAGTGCCATTGTAACTTCGAACAGTCACTGAAGAAATGGACATTAAGCAAGGACTACCTGTATTTTAACTTAATAATTCAATATGTACAAGCTTTTTGTCTGTGTAGAGAATGCTTTATTTCATCTTTTTCTTGCCATGCAGTAAGTAAATCCAGAAGTCCTCCTTTAATTGATATTTTCAAATTACAGAAATTATGGCTATGAGGTCCAGAACAAGCCAAGATTTTAAACTGTCCTTCAGTTGATATTTTCAGATTACGGAAATTATGGCTATGCGGTCCAGAACAAGCCAAGATTTTAAACTGTCCTTCAAACTTTGTTTAGAAGTTTGGCTTGTTCTGAACTTGGTAAAGTGGTTGCCACTTTGGATAAAAATGGAAGCTATGGTTAGCAGGGAATTTTCAAGTTAAAATGCAGTCAGTATGATGTGTAGATCATTATTCTGTGAAAATTGTTATTATGTCAAATCTTGCATAACCCAAAGTTTGGTTTGGATTTTCTCATGCAAATAATTTATGAACACAGTACAGACATGCATGCTTGTAGCTTTTCTGTGAATAATATCTAAAAAATGAATACTTTTTCTTTTAGATTTTTAGGGCAATTAAAAAGCTTATTCTCTAACCTCCTGAAAGTGAAGTATTTTGGATCAGATACATTATTTCCAACACTGTGGATGCTTTGGAACCAGTCTCTTAATAGATCGCCTGAACATTTTCCAGGAATTCAGAAACAAAGTTTCTTCACCATGCTGGAGATGCCTGATAAAAAACCTGACCTTGATGGGTTCTTGCCTCATCTTAGAGTACGTGGAATGACCACTCTTGACAAAGCTGCTTTCAAAAATGATGTTGTCATCCCAGCTCTTATGGTTAACAAAGACATTACAAACAATCTGCTGAAGTCTCTTAAAGGAGTGTTACTCCAGCGACCAGGTCTCAAGAGAGTCGTTGAAGACCCCGATGATGAAAACAGAAAGTACATTTTGTTAGACCCGCATAAAATATCTGCTGATGGTTCTCTGGGTGAATCTGAGCAACAGATCTTAAAAAGCTTTAATATTAACCCTGAAATAGTCAAGTATAACATGGAACTTACTTATGATAATTTCAGAACAGAAGAAATTCTGAAAGCGGTCCTTCCTGAAGGCCAGGAAGTCACCACGGCATTTAGCAGAATTGGCCATATTGCTCACTTGAATCTGAGAAGCCATCAACTGCCTTATAAACATTTAATTGGTAGGTTATGGTCAGGAATTACCATATAATACTGTGCATGGAAAAAATGTAGAAATGCTTTTTAATGGTTTCTAAAGAGATGATTCATCTATTTTAAAAGTAAATGTGAAAAATCATTTGAGCTTTTCAATGCCTAAAATGAATAAGGTGAGTTGTTTTGTATAGTGCAGCAGAAATAAATGTTTTGTAAAGGATACTAATGTATAAGCTAGTGAATAGATTAGCACAGTATGTGATGTAGAATTTAAGCAAAGTCAGTTTCAGTGGTTTGTATGCTTTTTAAATGAAGAAAAAAAAAAGGAGGAGGGTACTTTATATCAGTTCAGACTGTCAATCTAGCCTTGGCAGCAGCTTTTTAAAATTGGAGGCAATGGTCCTCCCGTCAGCTGCTAATTAATCCTTTTAAATAAAAATGCTGGGGAAATTGAAATTTGTGACCTTCTGCTTGAAGAGTATGAGCCCAACTGCTGAGCTGTGGTCTTCTGCTATTGTGTATTCAGGGAAGCAAATAGAATGCAATAGAACCTGGAGCAGTAAATGGAATGTTCAATTTCCCTGAGTTTAGATAGGGAGACACAGAACTGCATTTTTGCTTGACCAACGCATCTCCTTTTCTTTCTGCAATCTTAGGCATGATCGATTTGGTTAAAATATTTCCATCAATTTGATCAGTTTAAAAGCACTAAAAGCAACTGTATTTCAGTATTGTCATGTGGTTCAGTCCCCTATTTCTCGATAGCCAGTGAAGGGGTGAGAGAGTGGAAAATCAGAGAGTATGGTGATTTCATGGCACAGGTAAGCTCAGGATGATGATTCCAGCAGCATCCACAGTGTGCCAAGCATAATGTCTTATCCCCTCCCCATCCCTTCAGAATGTGGCAGATAACCTGAGAAATGGATTTCTCTGTAATGTAAAAAAAGTATTGTGTTTTATTTATTTATCAAATTTAGAGAACCACTCAGTTCCATAAAGATTCTGGGTGGCATGCAACATTAAAAACTGCAAGAACCAAGATAAAAGATAAAGAACGATGTATGTACAGAGGAAAAAAAAACATTAAAATTAACATGTAAAATCCCCAAAAGGCTCACCGCTTATCCTAAACCAAGCCTGGGGAAAAACGAGGATTTCAAAGACTTTTACATCATAGGCTCTGCTCTGATGTTTTTACATCCTAATTCTTGTTAATATCCAAAATTGTCACTTGGCAAAATGCCAGCTTCCTCTTTTCAACAGTCCCAGTGGCTGTATGCTGGCAATAATCACAGATCTCTGCTCAGTGTCTCCCCGTTTTTCTTTTTGATCATTCCAGTCTTACTGTTGTTAGATGGTGTTTCCTATACTGGGTTAAGAGGAGTTTGGCAGTTCTTTCTATGCCATAGACTGAAAGGACAGAAGAGTAGGTCTTATCTCTCCTCCTTCCCTTTAAAGAAGTTTTCTGTGGAGCTTTACAGTATAATGCACTTGGATAATATGAATTCTTGGTTTCAAAGTGCCTTAGTTAATTCAAAGTATTAAGTATTAAGAGGGTATACAATTTTTGCTTTTATAAAAATTAGAGACCTAGGTTCCCATTCTTCTCTAGCCGTTTCCCTTTTTCCATTTTTGCTGCCTTTTTAAGATTGCTTCTTCCTCTCTAATATCTCTTTAAGATGAAGGAATATTACATGGAAAGGTTATCTAATTGGACTAAGGGCTGCACAGTGTCCTTCTGTCAGGCTTAAAGCACCATTTTGCCCATAACTCCTCAAAAAACTTCCCAAAATGAGGAAAAAAAATGGATTTTAAATTGTAGGTTTTTTGTATAGGGAGGAATATGATGTTAAAAGGTTCAAGAAGTGAGCATTATGGTGGCTCCATAGGAAGTAATTTTAAGGAGCTTCCCTTAGAACTCTAGAGAAAGAGTTGGGCCATATCCCTTGGCAAGGATAATACAATGCTAGGGGACAACTGTGGATAGAATTACCTTTCTTTGTTAAGAAATAATGCACTCATTTCATAGAAGAGGTTTTCTGTATTTTGCTTACCACTTTTATCTGAGTTATTAAATGGTCTGGGGTTTTTTGTTTTTTGCATATTTGACTGTCTTTCAGGACAAGTTATCATTGACAAAAATCAAGGAATAACCTGTGCTGTAAACAAAATCAATATTATAGATAGCACATATCGAAATTTTGAAATGGAGCTACTAGCTGGAGATGGGGCCAACATGATAACAAAGGTACTGAGATTTTCAATTGTATTTTATTCTAGCAAAAAGACAATGCTCTTAACATAGAGATGCAAGCAGAGCAAGAAATAGACATCATTGAAAGATAGACTGTGATTTCTTGTTTGCTTCTCAGTTCTACAGATTTTCCAGTCTGTGTGTGTTTTCAGATATCCTTGTTTAGGCTGAATGAAATCTCAGCTCTGATCATAAGATTCTGGTAAAAGGAATATAGTTTAGCATTGGCTGAAGTTATATAGTGCGCTTGCTCGCACACACGTACAGAGTTAATGAATTCTTGCAGAAACATCTGCTTTAGACCTAGTTTAGGAACTATTTTTTTCCTTCTTCAGAATCAAATTGCTTTTTTATTTAGTACTTATTCACCTGGTTTGAATACAGGTAGTCCTCAGGTTAAGGCCACTTGTTCAGCAACTGTTCAAAGTTATGACGGCGCTGAACAAGGGGGACTTACGATCGGTCTGCAAAGTTGCAGCTGTTGCAGCATCCCCACAGTCACATGATCACCATTTGTGTCCTTCTCTGCTGGCTTCCCACAAGCAGAGTCAATGGGAAAGCTGGCAGGGAAGGTCGCAAGTCACTCTTGTAAGTTGCTACTGGCACTTTTTCTCCTGAGGAGCCCCGCTACAGAGTACTAGATCCCAGGGATCTTGTAGCACCCCTTCACCCGTCCACACTCCTTAGTGGCCCCCACTGGCCTACTCATGCTCACTAGTGCCCACCATGGCCCCCACTGTCCCCCCCCCACAGCACTCACCCACTGCCTGCAACTCTTGCCCTCTGGCCTGCTTGCCTAGGACTCTGGTCATGTGAGGTGCTCTCTTAATGACCCGCGCAGTCTCTGGTTATGACAGCAACCGTGATTGCCTGAATTATTGTTGCTAAGCTATGTGGTCACATGTCATCACACTTTGCAACCATATCACTTAGCAACAGAAATTTTAGTCCCAATGGCCGTCATAACCCAAGGACTACCTGTAAAGCATATGAGCGAAGTGGATTGCTCCAACAAGATTTAGGACTCATGTATCCAAAGCTGATCTTGTATGTAGGAGCTGATTTCTGAAAAGGTGCATGTACTGTATCGTTGTAGTATATTACCACCCTGTATCTCAGCTTTTGCCCCCAGAATATACTATGGTCATTTCCAACTCCCTGATGGGGATGGTTGATGGAAAGTTAGCATGAACAGTATATATAGTTACTGCTCATAGAGGATCACATGCATAAATGTATGTCATCCTTTAAAATAAGAGTTTGTTTAAAATATATATTACTGAAGAAGCTGTAAACCAAATTGTAATTCTTAATTTTCAGGTGCATAGCTTAGCAACTGACTTATTTTATCAGTATTTGTTCTTCCTTTTAAGGCAGAATTTTAAAGAGCCATCTTGAATCTCTGAGTGAGAAAGTCATTGGTTCTTTAGAGTGTAAAGTTGTTTCTTACAAACTGGGCTGATGAAAACCATGTCTCTGATTGATACAAAATGTCAGTGTTATGAACCTTACCTGTAGCTGTGTAGTTCTAAGGGTCTGTCCCTTCTGATACCATAAATGTTTGTGGTTGTTACAGAGCTTTGAGGTTGTGTGTCATGTCTCTTATCTTTTAATTAGCATGACTTTTATATAGACATTGTGGCAGTTATTTATTTATTCATTTGATATACACAGTTTTTCTTCTAGAATGTATAGTTACATAACACCCCCTATGTTAGAATGGCTGAAACATAATGATTGGGACAAAGTCATCCAGTGAACTTCCATATTTGAGAATGAATCTGTATTTGGGTCTCCTTAGTCCTAATCTGATCCTTTGCAAGGGCATGTTTCTCTATTCTTCCATAGCCAGCAAAGGGGAACTCCTAAATTTTGGTATAAAATGTAACTTTTCATTGCATTTCACTCTTCCTTACCTTTGACAGTTAACAGTCAGCTATTAAATTGAACTCTTTTAGGTTAAGGAAAACTATATCTCGTATGAATTTGATTTTTCCAAAGTCTATTGGAATCCTCGCCTCTCTACAGAACATTCGCGGGTTGTCAACCTTTTAAAGCCAGGAGACCTTCTCTTTGATGTCTTTGCAGGGGTGGGGCCTTTTGCAATCCCTGCAGCAAAGAAGAACTGTGTGGTATTTGCAAATGACCTCAACCCTGAGTCATGCAAGTGGCTCCAGCACAACTGTAAATTAAATAAAGTGGACAAAAAAGTCAAAGTCTTCAACATGGATGGCAGGAGTTTCTTGAAAGGGCCAGTGAAGGAAGAACTGGACAAGCATCTCTCTTCCAAGGAATGGAAGAATTCCTTGCATATCATCATGAACTTGCCAGCCATGGCAATTGAGTTCCTAGATGTCTTCAGGCATCTCTTGAATGGAGAGCCAGTCAGTGCTGAACTTCCTACAGTGCACTGCCACTGTTTTTCCAAGCATGATAACCCCACACAAGATGTTCAAGAAAGAGCTGAAGCTTTACTGGGAACTTCCTTAGATGGTCTCTGTTCTGTTAAATGGGTGAGAAACGTGGCACCCTATAAAGAAATGATGTGCATTAGCTTTCAACTCCCAGCTGAAGTGTTATACAAGCCGGTGTCTTCTCTGTCAGGTAAATTCAGCAGTAGAAAATATAGGAATTCTTTGTGGCTACATGGAGGCTTAGTAAAATTCTGCTACCTCACTCTTGTTCAGGGTATTTCTTGGCTTGAGATCTAAAGAGCATTAAGAGTCTCTTGCCTCAAATTGGCCTGACACACATACTGTACTAACCCATAATCTAGTTTATCAGCTTTGGTTTTATGTGATGTGTAAAACCAACCATTGTAAATTGTTAACATGGTTTATCCCTGAGTGTTAAGGGACCAGGCCAAATCATGTTTTAGTGAAATGGGCAGTTACTGATTGCCATTATAAAGGATTCCTGAATATCAGGATTGATCTTTCAGAAGATACATTGGGGGCTGGGGGTACCCCAGTGCTTATGTAGCCCTCTCCATTCTTTTTCAAGCCCCCTTCACTTGTTTTCTCCATACCTACTTTATGAGATATTTACTGTATATTGCTAACTGTTGTGTGTTATGAGTTTGAATGTAAGATTTTAATCTTGTTATCCAATTCTGACTTCAGAGTTTTTTCTATAACTCTTCTTTTTTCAACCACCACCTCTAATGGTATCCCACTTCTTGGCAACTCCTTGCTGTCTGCTTCAGCTTTCTGATCACCTGTGCTGGTCTATGACCGTAAAAAAGATTTGATTTGCCTCTCATCATGTGTATTCCCTGTCACACATGAAACCAAACTGCTTTAACTGTCACAACAAATATATGTGGGGTTTGATACTAGGAAAATCATCTAGCCAAAAACACACAATTAATGGTGCTTAGAGACTGTCTGAGATACTTAAGGTGTTATTAGGTTTGGATGGATGGATGGATGGATGGATGGATGGATGGATGGACGGACGGACATGCCATTCAGATCTCATTATATCTTAAACTTATTGGTGCAGATGATCCACAGGAACCTGCATCTAAACGCCTGCGCCCAAATGAAAATTACATCGAAGAAAATCATCAAACTATCTAGAAGATATGTGGATCATGACTGAACAGAATTTTAATTCCATTTTTCAAGGTGAGCAAAGTACCTTGGATTTGCTGTGAAAGTGCAGTTATCGAATCCGTCTGAAAGTTGGTAATTGCAGCAACCATGCTCATGAGCTGATTGTACACTGATTATGTTTTAGTTCTTTTAAATTCTTCGATATATGATTGGGGTCCATTATTTAAATTAAATAATTTTTTATTTTCCCATAATTTGTAGTATTTTCTGTCCAAGCTTGTGTCCAGTTATTCATTCACTTATGAGAATTTATCATAAAATTAAAGGAACAAAATGAAATATTTTGGATGTAATTGCTCCTGTGAGGTCTCTGCCCAATCATAGATCCTGAGCAGCTCCTTGGTTTACTGATGAGCTAAGGGAGATGAAGTACAAAGGTGCCTAGAACAGCAGCAGTGAAAGACCAAATGTGGACATGACTGGTAAGAGCTCATTTTTGAGCCTACACAGTGGTATGGTGGTGAAGCATCAGTTCCTTTCTGCACATACTGCATCTTCAGACTTCCACACAGCAGCCTTTTTCAGAGTTACCCAGATCCTATTATGGAAAGATTAGAGGGACAAGCTAACTAGGCTCACCAAATGATTTTGCGGGGTTTTGTTTGTTTGTTTTTGGGGTGAATAAAGTCACTCATATCTGTTCTTCATTGGATCCTAGTTGGCAGAATCTGTTGGGTTTGGGATTTTTTTTGAGCTTATTGCTTTCAAGGAAATGGATAAGGTTCTCTGTGGTATGAGTATCACCACCTTTACAATGGTTTCTTTAGGCATTCAGGCAGTGTGAAGGGCAAGGCCTAGATTGCAGCAGTTTTCAGTGCATCTTTGGGGAAGGTTGGAGATCAGATGAAAGTTATAAAAAATAGCCAATTCAGAGAATAATTTTTTAGGGCTGGGGGCAGGTGGCATCTCAGCTACAGAGAATCCTAGAAGAAGCTGATTTATCCTTGCCAGTCATGATTCAGATCTGGACATGGGACAGAAGTGACACTGGTTGCCCTGGTTGATTATCTATTTCAGGACCATAGCAGTGCACCCCTTGGCCCTGTTAGACTTCTCAGTGGCTTTTAATACCATCAGTCATATCTTCCCGGACTATCTACATAGATTGGGAGCTAGGAACTGTGTGTTTCAGTGGTTTCCCCTCTATTTCAGTGGTTTCCCTGAAAGAACCTGAGCAGCAGTTCCCATTTACAGCCATCAGTTCCCGTTTACAGTCATGGGGCTGCTCTCAAGATAATGGCATGGAGCTCAGAATTCTCCATGCTGTTTAACAAATCTGTTCTGCTGTGTTTTCAGTCTAAGTTGATTGTTTGTTGTGTGCAGCTCTTTTTTTGTACTATTGTTTTAGGGATATATATGTATTATAAACTACATGGGGTTGGGGACAAAGAAGTTACCATGCAGGTGAAATGGACCAATCCTTATGGGAGGATCATTGTGGCAATTCTTAAGAAGGTGTAAGATCTATATCATGATTATTATCCCCCTCTTTAAATCCCTGACGTAGCCTCTTAAAGGAAGGAGAGACAAGACTTTACCATTTCCTGCTACTAATGACGCTATGATAAGCTATAAGACAACGGGAACTTTACAAGATTTACAAAATTTGCAACCTAGGGTAATTTGTGGTTCATCGTTCCTCTTTCTCTGCTTCCACTCCTACAGAAATGGAAGCAGAGAATGTGGAAATCCTCTCTTATAATCTGTCCAGAGAAGTTTTAATGCTGCATGAAATTTTATATATTATAAATGAAATGAAATAAAAACTGTTGAAGGATTAAAAACTCCTTCAGGGCTAGTATAACCCAGAGTATGATCCCTCTGTTACTCTCCCAAATACTATTTCCCTCAAAAGAGGAAATGGCTAGTTGGGGAAGTGATAGTTTTGCTCCTTCCAGAATATCTGCCATAAACAGCATAAGATCTTCCAGCCTACCCCTACACCTCCTCCCTTCATTTTCTTATAGAAAATACTAAAAATAAATACCTGACACCCCAAATAATTTGGAGGGAGATATATATACAGTTTCTGTTTTCCTGTAATACAAAATATAAGCTTCCTCCTTCTCTATTTTATCCTCCTAGCAACCATCTGTGAGCATTAACTAGCCCAAGATCACACGGGGAGTTTTAAAGCTAAGCAGGATCATGTCAGTTCTTTAGTTAAAAAATGTAGTCTAGCAGATATACATTAAGATAGTTTCATATGTACTTTTTCCTTATTATATATGTAGAAAAAAGGCATTTCACTGATTACTTTTCTGATAGTATACTTATCATACATATTTATATTTTATCTTTTCTTATTTCTCTATCTCGTAAGTGAATGAGCCCAAGATCACCAGTGCATTTCTTCCTACTCAAACATTTTGTCTTCTAAACCATATTGATTGTTAATGATGCACATTACCAAAAACAATGTGGTTTACATCTGCATATGTATGTATGTTCTGGACTTATAAACAACAAAACACAGTAGTATGCAGGTAATGGTGCAGGTCTACATTTCCAGGAGTACCTGAAGGGGAAGAGCTTCACTGCTCTAAGGTATTGCTCCCTGCCTGATTTAGCTTTATTCCCATAATGTTGTATATATCCTTTGTCTCACATTTATCCCATCAACAGCACTTCTAGGAAATATAATGGAAGCTAAGCATGGATAGGCCTAATCAGTATCTGAATGGGAGGCCCATGGAGTGGTCAGGTATTCAACAAACTAATCATCTTTAAAAACAACCAACTAGAAAAGGTAGAAAGGAAAAGGAGGTAATAAAGTCTGGATGTCTCTCAGATGGACTATGGGTGATTTACACATGAATCAATTAGTAATGATTTTACAGGTAGTCCTCAGTTAAGGATGGCAATTGGGACCAGGAACTCCATTGCTAAGTGAAGTGGTCATAAAGCACAACATCATGTGACTGTGCCGACTTATGACAGCAGTTCTAACAGTTCCAGTTGCCACTGTTAGGTGAATCCCATGCAGTCGTTAGGCATGACATCATGTGATTGCCATTTGTGACTTCCTGCTGGCTTCCCCATTGACTATGCTTGTCAGAAGCCGGCAGTGAAGGTCACAAATGGTGATTAAATGATTGCGGGATGTTGGACTGTCATAATTGCAAGTCAGTTGCCAAGAGCCCAAATCGCAATCACGTGACTGTGGGGACACTGCGACAGCCACAACTTCAAGGACTGGGCATAAGTCTCTTTGTTCAGCACTGTCGTAACTTTGAACAGTCGCTGAATGAATGGTTGTTAACCAAGGACTACCTGTATTCATAAACTGAGTTTTTCACTTCCTTGTTTATAAAAGCAATTGTATTTGTACACACACATCTGGTGTCTATATGCTCCTGTTTTAGAGGAAGGGGGAATTCAGGATATGAAATAAAGTATTAATTTGTAAACTAGGTGTGTGTTATGTCTAGAGAGGGCTTCTTGCATTTTGCTTAATTATATTCAAGTGCATCTTATATTACAGTTTGAAGCACAACCTCATCTTTTCCTAAGTTAATAAAGCAGTTGCTCTCAAGAACAGATGACTTATATGTATTTAATTCTGTAACAAAGTACAGAATTCATGAGTTTTTATGTTAGCTGGTGACATAATATTGCTGTGGGTTTATGGAATTGTAAATGTACTTCTGTTCCTGATATTACATGATTACTGAATTCCATTTTGCACATTTAGCTGGTGTGCTTCAAATACGTGAAATATTTTTCCAAATTAAATTTATTAGTCTTAAAAGTGCCATAATGTTCTTGGTTTTTTACCAACTGATTATCAAAATTTCATATATCATATGAAGTGGACTCTGGTCTAGAAAGCTGCTTCTGAAACACATTTGCTATTCTTCCAATATCATAAGATCTTCATTGTTTTTGCTGGAGTGTCCTAATGCAGTTATTTCTTATATTGATCCATAAATATTGATCCATCTGTTGGTTTGATTGCAATAAAGAACTGCCCAATAAGGGTCTCTGGAAACAGTGACTAACATCCCCAATGGAGAAAAATCAGAAGAATTTTGATAGTCTTCTAGAATTAAGAGTCATATTGGGACCCTTAAACTTTTCAAGGCTTAAGGTACTTACTTTAGGGCCATGCAGCAATCCAGATTCAGAGGGAAGAGGTGATTTGGAATGCACATGTTTATGTCTGTCAACGTCCCCTTAAATCAAACACATCTTTTCCTGGGATCAGAGAGTCCAAAAAAATATTCAGCTTCTTTAAAGAGTTGCCAATAGGTGCTGCATGAGCATCACCACATTCAGAGCATCACCTTAGAATCTGGATCGCTGTATAGCCCTACTTATTTTGCCTCTTACAACCCTCCAAAATCAAAGCAGGTATAAAATGTCAGCCCTCTCCATATTGAAGGAAAACTGATAGTCACTTGTGACTTGCAGATTGCTCACCTTTGAGCTATTATAAAATTCAGAGTTATTAATAGAGGTTACCTGAAGTAATTATGATAAAAGAACCTTGTCTCTTCAATGGTTGGACCTGTTAAAACTGGTAGCATGATCCTAGTCAAGCTATGTATACTGAGCTGAGCCTATGTTGCCCCTGTTGTGGGTGAATGCAGTGTGCATAGTCATCTTTACATCTTGGAGAAGGGTAAGTTATTAATTGACTGGGGACTTCTCAGCAGAAACAGACCCATTCTGTTGGGGCTGGTAAAAAACTGTACACAAAACTCCAGGTAGTTACATCTACAACTTCTGTATGTGCATTTGCTATTTATAGAGACAGGTACATAATTGCATATTTATAGAGTGACGGTGCAATCTCCAATGTCGTTCTGATTCCACTGTTCAGAACTCAAGGTGGAATATATTATGGAAGAAGTCAACATATCTCCAGTTCTTATATCATGTTTCAAGGAAGAAAAACGTAATTTGTTTGCATTAGAAGCTGGTTTAAGAGAAGAAAAGGCTTTTCTTCTATAGTGCAAACAGTTATACTATAAAGGTTTAATGAAAATAGCATTTCAGTGGTTTTGCAAATAAAAACCTGAAGTGGAGATATAGAAATTACAGGAAATAACAACAACAATTGGATTTATTTTTTAGAATTTTACTAGTCTGTTTCAGAAACCTTAAACACACAAAACAATTACTCACATCTTCCATTAACCTCTCAGGAGAGTGACATAAAGCATCCCACCCTCATCCGCAAACCACAGAAAAGAAAAAACCACATACACACCACCACCTTTTCTAAATAAAGTTTCTATATAGTGAGTTTTTAATACTTAAGCACAGCTGGCTTCACAATGTTTTTTTAAAAAGATAGATGACAGCAGTTTAGCCATAGTGCAGACGGCAACAATTTTCACCTGAGGTTTTGCGTGCTCTGCTTTGGTGTCTGTTACCCCCCAGCTAGCCAGGATGCCAAAACAGCCCACTGAAGGCATCTTGAAGGGCTCGATGACAGGCAAGGGAGGAAGTGTAGCCACCAGCAAGATCCTGTGGGGAAGCAGCTCGGACATGGTTTAGATACCTAGAACAAAGAGCAGCATTGTCTGAGCAAAGAAACATTTCATGCTCCACGACGGGAATTGGAAGAAAATCCAACTTCTCTGGGTCCCACTGCTGAACACATTTCTACAGACTGAGCCATTCTCAAAAGACTGGAATTGGAGACAGGAAAGACTGAACTCAATTTAGCAATCCTTGTTGGATTAAATTTATTTATTTTAAAACCTGACCTTTATGCTCTGGCAAGCACTCAAGATGGCTATAATTCATATAAACTGTATGAATTTGGTGTTTCATCTATGTAGGCTAGAGACTGAATTCTCTATATCAAAACGGCCACACCATATGCCTCTCTAACATTTCCTGAATCACTACAAAATAGTATAGTACAGTTTAAGTTGTTTCAAAATTGCTCCTGTCGTTTATGATTTTCATTTTCAAAAAACTTGATATGGCTTAAACACCTACGCCAGAAAAAGCCTAGTTACTGAAAACCTACATTTCTGTTTGAGCGCTCCAAAATCCAAAATGCCAGATACTTGCTGCAAGAAAAGCAGGGGGAGATGGAATGTCAGCTTCAGGTTTTGGAAATTCCATTGCTACAGGCTGGAAGACCAGTAGCGGCAGTTAACTGAACACAGTAGCAGTGGCAATGGCTAAAGTTACGGAATGCCTCTCAGGGTTCCAACGATCAGTTATTTCTTTAAAAGCTTCAAAAGACAAGTCATGGAGAAATGCTACATTTCACTGAAGGAAAGCAGAGCAGCAAAGACAGAAGAACGAACTCTGCAAAAAAGCATGGCTGAGTCCACAGGGTGGAGGGTAGGAGTTTCTTAACTTCCTCTCCCCAAAATCCTCTGCGTCTTTGCACCCTGGCTCCACCTTCCTGCCTTTTTGGATAGTGGCTCAGTAGTTCTTGCTGCCACAATCTATCTTCCAAGGGGTGCCTCATCAGTTCAGTCATGGGGGATCTTCACATGCATGTAACTTGTGGACCTCTCCATTGACTCCTTAGATGTGGTCTAAGCCAGCAAAGGCAAAGGGCTTTGCAACTTCTCCTCCTTCAGGGAAAACTGCAAGCCATGGCTTTGGCACAACGCCAATCTTATTATGCAATTCAGTCTGTAGTCTCTGCCTTGGCACCACACAGGCTTCAAAACAGCAGAGAAGAAGAACACAATTAAACCCTCTGCTGCAGTTTATGCTATGATAGAAAGATTAAAGAGGCAAGGAGTTACTTTGGGATGGGGTTTTCTTTTTGGCCTACTTCTGGGTTAAAATATCTCGAAGTAAATAATAAAGAAATGAGAACCTTAACAGCAGGGGCTATTCTGTAAGCCAGATCTGAGGCCCATGAAACCTCTAGGCTGTCAGATGCATGTCTCTGCCATAAAGTGCTATCCTGCTTAAGGGGACAGCCAACTGTCTTAGGTCTTAAAAGACAGTATAGCAAATGAAAACCAGTTTCCACAGTTACAGTGCAAACTACCAAGATTAAGCTATTTTGATTCAGCCTATCTTGGTCCAACTTGCTCCTGGGAAGGTTTAGTCATTTCATCTCTTGACTTGGCAACTCAAACATAAACCTGCAATCCATCCATGGCCTCTTGTACATTATCCTGGGAAACCCCAAACAGCTGCTTGCTGGTTGGAAAGAACATTGGGACCACCAGTAAAACAACCCAAACAGTTAGTTTTCTTAATTTATAACAGCACAGAGTTTCCACAAAGGATGCATAATAAAACAAGTCAGCTTTTATAAATATATCTTAATGAAGTTGCCAGTATTGTAAGGATATACAATTGCAGTTGGGGAGGGAGGAGAAATGTCCTTAAAAAGAAGTAAATTTCCAAAAGTCTATTCCTTGCACTTAATAACCATAATAGGTATGTGCAACATTTCTAACTTGGTTCTTTTTGTGAAGATGTTAAACTGACGAACCTAGGAGGGCAAATATATTGGGTTTTTTGCTAAGATTAGTCATACTTCAGATTCCCAGGGAGGCAGTGGAAGGAGTCACATTATTGCTTAATATGGATGACACCAAGCCCACAATCCTCCATTTCCAGGGGAATAGAAACTCATTCTCACCCTATGACTGAACCACCAGAGTTCTGATTTTAAGAATTAAGTATTCTTTATACATCCAAAAGTTTTTCCCCTCACAATTGCTTTTGTTCTGTAAAGGAGAGGAGATACATCTACTTTCCAAAGAATAAACATAGATACAAATTCAATTTTCCTAATTCAAATTAAGTATCTTTTCACACCACCTGACTGCACTAAATAGGAACTGGTCAACTTATTAGAGAAGTGTACAAACCATCTCCACCCCCATGGAGCTACCCCAAGAATATTCTCTCTTGAGATGTAGCTCTCTCTGGGTAGTACCTTGATTTAAACCAAGGATTAATACTGTACTAGACCAGCACTTCCCCCCCTCACCTCCTAGGCTGAATTTCCCAACCTGGTACATGTGTTGAGATTGCAGGTATTCTTGATCCACCAGAAGGAAACATCAGCTAGCAGATTTTGTTGCTACATACAGCATTCTCTCTTCGTTGCTTTTCTGTTTGAAGTTGGTACTTGAGTGGCAAGATGGTTGGATTAGGTTCCTTCACCCAAATTATTATACAGAGGAATTATTTATACAACACTAGAAGGAGAAATCTATACCTGGTATATACCAATGGATTGCTTTTAAGGATTATAGTCTTGGGGAGGGAGAGTTCTGTTCATAATACAATTTTCCAGGATTTTTTCATTTTTCTTTTATTTTTTAATAATATTACATTTTTATTAAGGTTATTAGTATTAAGATTATTAGTTTTAATGTTACATTACATTGTTAATACTGCTTTGTGTATAACAGTAGGGTTTTCCAGTGCTTCAGATTCAGTTCCAAAAAGGTCCTTCAGAATATGCAAGGGCACTAATGTATCGGGGGACGCGGTGGCGCAGCGGCTTAATGACGCTGAAAGTTGCCGGCCAGAAATGGT